CTCGTCGCCGAAAACAATATCTTCGTTGAACAATGCATGAGTAGTTATGCTCAATGACCATTTCCAACCATGGGTAGGTGTCCAATGGGGATGATAGATGAGGAAGTTTTTATTGGTATTTATTTGAAATCCAACAAACCAGCCCATCTCAGCCCTAGGATCAAATTTGCCTGGTTTTGGGTGAATGTATTTATATGCGCAACATCCGAAGCGTGGGAGGTTGGTGAAGTCAATTTGATTGGGGTAAGGCTGCTTCAGACCTTTGAGGAAATCTAACAATTGTATCAATTTTGTTTGCAAACAATATAGACAATTAGTGATGAAGCAGGCATGTTTGACTGCCCATGGCCAGTAACATGCGGGCATTCTGGCGTCTATAAGCATGGATCTAGGTCGTCTCAGTATGACCTTGTTAGACGCTTCTGAGGTGCCATTCTGCTCGGGTGTGTATGGAGCAGAGATGTCTGTCCTAATGCCATGTTGATCACAATGTAATTTGATACGGGTAAATTCTGATCCCCCATCCCTGAAGATTTTGCGGACTCTTTTTCCGTATTGATGATGCTGTTGCTCGACCCATTGGACTAGTTCTGTTGCGATTTGGTCTTTTGTGCACGTGGAGATAGCCCATCTCATGCGTGTTCTGGCGTCGGTGATGATTACAGCATACTGATGCCCGTTATGTGCTGTTGTTAATAGGCCAACTGTGTCAATGAACACTTCATCTAATGGGTCAAATGGGGTCGGTCTTGGTTCTCGTGAGACATGGCGTTGTGCTTTACTGAGGTGGCATGTTCCACAGGTGGTTAATTCTGCTGTGTCTAATCCTTCCATTCCTATGGTGCATTGCGCTGTCTTTTACAAAACCTTTTGACCTATATGCCCTAGTCTTTGATGCCAACGTTGTGCACTAGATGTCTTCGGGACTCTTGCAACACCAGGGGCTGCAGTGTGTATGTGTTTTTCCGGAAGATGTGTGAGTGGTTTAATGTAGTAAACGTCATTTTTGCAAAGTAGTTCAGCTATTGGCGTTTCTTCATGGTTTGGTTTACACATTATTAAGCGTGTCATGTCAGCGTTACATGTTATGTTGCCTAATCTCTGTAATCTACCAGCTGAGATTATTATGCAAGACGATTTTGGAGAGTATAGTGCGTCGTGGAGATCAATGACTAATTTGCCAATGGTGACTCGTGCAACACTTTGCTTGGTCAATTGCATGTCTCCTACGGCTTGGTCAAATCTCAATGGTTTATGCCTGGAGTGCATGTTGCGAAACATGGATTCACATGGGACAAAGTGGTGCGAAGCACCAGTATCTCAAATGACAAGATGTGTATGGGTACTATGAGCTGATGCAGCCATGCCTACACTGTCCTCGTTCTCGCTGTCGGTATCTATGCCGGTCACAGCTCTCATATTCCCATCTGCGGCCTGACCCGTCCCTGTTAAGGTTATGAGTTAATTGGGAACATAGTTACGTTGAAATGTGTCACAATGTTTGTTCAGATGGTTTGATACTTGGTAACTTGATTGCTGGCAGGTGTCCGATACTTTTCCGATACTGTACATGAGACAGAACATAGACTACTTATATACTCTAATATGACCCTTGTCATTGTCTACGCTCTCTCTCCTGACTTACTGCCAACAGCGTGCCTGGGTAAAACTCTGCAGCTCATGAGTCCATCTCTCATGAGAGGTATCCGCTGTTCCGGTGGCTGGCGCGCGCGGTCCGAGTACGCGTCGCTGCAATGCCTCAATCACTTACGTGTAATATTGCAGCTGAGCAATCCTGAACCTAGCTGTCCAGGAACGACAGCAATCCAGTCCATGGTTCGCGCCTGTGGTTTGTATACACACCACAGCGTCGCTCCAATCGTTCCCATACAATGTCTTAGCTCCGCAGTCCTTAGTCCATTACTCAGGAGCGGAAGCAGTTGTATGGTTCTGGTAGCGCGCGAGGTCTGCATATACCTCAGAGCGCTATCCCATAACTGTCCGGCAATGTCTAACCGCTTATGGCTAGCGCACGTGGTCAGTAGACCCTTCACGTCGCTACCCCAATCGTTGCCTTGCAATGACTCAACCCGGTGCTCCCAAGTCCGAGAGTCAGGAGCGGCAGCAGTTGTATCCATGGTCTATGCACGACGTGCATATGCACCTGTTGGCGCAGAGCCGGTCATTGACAAGCAATATCACAAAAAAATATCAGTATTACTTCAACTATTTATGCATTTATGAAGATCTCTAGAAAACTTGTTCTTGACTGGTATCTGCTTCTCGTATATTCCAGTCATAGTAGTTCTCAGTCTTACTACCAATTACTAGAATATTCCTGTTACAGCAGAACTGATCTAGTGTCACAGATCAACTATAGAAAGCAGAGAGCATTTGTATGGATGAGAGTATTTTATAATTCAACTATGAAGACCTAAATTCTACAAACCAATCCAGGTATATATACAGATTTATTATATTCAAAGCTCTCCCCTCCATGGTCAGCTTGTTCCTAGATAATTCCAGTTGCTACTCTAAGGGTATCATTTCTAGCAGCTTCTCCAAGGTTTAGTATCAGCCCTACTCACATGGAGACTTTTCTAGTCCCTTTTTAGGAGATTCTAGTATTGTTTGCGTGGCTTTTGCGCCTGCCTGTTCTCCGGTGGTTGTACGCCAGTACTTGCTAGTACAGGCTACAGGAAATACCGGCTTTGTAGCTGTTACATCTAGAACGAAGCTAGACTACTGTAGAATTATAGAAGCACGTGATTACAATCACGTACCACACAACAATCGGCTCACAAGCCGTTACAGACTCTTTCAGTCTTACAGCATTGAGATATATTTCCATCATGGCCTCTTACTGTTAGATTACAGTCTTGAACATTAAACAAGAGATCGAATCGATTTGCAGTGTGATGACTTGCCCCTGTATCCCAATCGAAAATTTTGCTGCAGGTTTGTGTCCTGCCTATTCTGTAGTTATCTAAATGGAAGCCTTCTTCTTCTTCCTGTACTTCATTCTTTCTTGCTTTTTTCAACCTTTATCTCGGCCCAACAATCATTATCAATGTACCATACAGCTCTGTGTCCTATAGCTTGGCAATATTTGCACTTCTTGGTCATATATTTTGTAGTTTTAATCTTGATAACTACAGGCTCTTCCTTTGTACCATCAATTTTCTATCTCTTTGATGAAATGAATAATGTTAGCTCTAGTACAACATCATGGTAGCTTTATTTTTTGGCCCTAATATTTTCAATTGTATTGGCATGATATGTTCCAAAGGATCTAAGAAGGAACTCAGCCATAGCCTTGCCGCTTTTGCTGAATTCCAAAAGTCCTCTCCCCATGCCATCATCATTGTCAAGATTTGCTCTGGATATCATCCCGACAAAATTGTTCCATACCTGCCTGTATTGAGCAATTTGTGACAAAACATCATTTTTACGGTCGTCAAAAGCATTGATCTTCAGGCTATTTGACTGGCTGTAGAAATATATGGATGTCTGACTTTGAAATGCCTTTTCTAGTCCCTTGTTTACTTCATATGTTGTTACACAAGTACCTACTTGAGCTTTGACTAGTACTGAGCAATTTTTCCCAATGTTAGATAACGCAACTGCATGTTGCCGGATCAATTGGTGTTGGTATACAGCAGGGCAAGTCCAGAATAAATCAGTCAATGATATTCAGCAAAGGAAGATTTCTTACTTCTTGCTGTTTACATAGGGAATTGTAATTATCAGCGCCGATCATAACAATCTATGTTGCTAAGCAACCACATCCGGACCGCAACATTGGTAGCCCCTGTAGCTAGCTAGGCCATATATTCCATCCCTGCCGTACTGGCACAGACAGTACAAACACAAGGGATTAATCCTGTAACACTGCACTATCCTGTCTCCATAATTCTTTTTGTGCAGGTGTGCTCTTGTTGAGCAAAGTTATACTAATATGAATCTCTTTCAGAGTTGATTGAATTGATTGTCCTTTACCATGAGGAATCTATCTAGGTACTGTGTACACCTTGAGTATCCTACTAATTCTAAATATAGACTGAATATTAGATTGCCCATGCGAACTGGTCAAATCTCCGTTCCATACATGCTTCTGAAATTGGCTGTTACATTATCATGGGCAATAGAGAAAGTGAAACAACCAGAGAGTTGTGCGTATGAAATTGGCCATCCGTCTTGTCGCTAGTTGTAACATTTGCATGACTAAGTTGTTGCCCTTGATGTATCAGCCCAGTTTACTTGCTTGTAAACTACTCAACTTAAACATCATGATACAACATTTAAATTTAGGGTAATCTGTTTGACAAATACATTCTCTGTAGATAGACACAACAACTAATAATCATCATTAATTGAATCAAACTCCCCACAATTGGGACCCATAGAAATGCCAAACCTTCATACAACCCTCAATTGAATTGTCGCAATAGTATCTGAAACGAGCCACCTCTGCATTCCAGAATACATTCTCTAATTGTGATAAGCCAAACCGCCAGATCTAGCAAACAACTACAATATGCAGGCTCTGTTGGCATTAGAGAGGCTTCCACTAGCCTAGTGATTGTGACAAAAGCAAGCTAGTTGTAGTGTGTTTTTAGAAAGATTAAACTATATGAGGAGAGAAATAACACAACTACAGGTGATGACTAGTTGAACATCCTTCTAGCTCATCCAGTACGTACTCTGTTGGTGAGAATGACATATTGCTTCGCCACTGCCCGTTGTCATCTTTGTCATCTAGCTGACTCTCTCACTTGGCAATTCTACTTCGCCGTCTCGCATTCCTTCCTAGCTCTAATGTAATGTGACCAAGTGAGACTTAGTCGCTTGATACAAGATAACATGGAATACTCTCCCTAATACGCCCCAAAACTCCGCTTAGGTCTCCTCCTAAACTAAGCCACGCTCAAACTATAACAGCTAGTATATTTGTAATTAAACCCTAATTCACCAATCTGCTCAATACCATGGCAAATTTATCAAAAATTGATGCTACAGAGCGAAAAACTTGGCAGTGCCCAATTCCTGTCCAAACTTTCTCTTCCACGTTGACGAGAGATCTTGCGTATCGCCATCGCAGACAATCGACCAATGTCATCGAGTACAAGAGCAAGATGAACATTAAGTATGTCTTGACCGTTGTATTCAGCTGTTACCAAATGTGAGCCGTAAATTATCGACAGCTTATGCCCCAGTACTTACTCGTTGCAGTGCTGTCCAACTTATAAAAGTAGTAAGATGTAGGGCGTTGATCATCATATAGTATAGTTCTCCTATCTTCTTGATCATCTACCAAAACTTTGACCTTTCTTGCATCAACCGGGTGCATTCTACCGCTAAATAATAGCAGTTTTGCCTCATAAAGCTCTATTGAGAACTCATTTGGCTCGACAAAACGGTTGTCGCATTGAAAACTTTTCTCCATCTCTTCAATGTGGCCCGTGGTAGAGGCAGCTAGAGTGGCGACAAATATGCTTGCGCTTTCAAAGATGATGGCTTTGTTAGAAAAGCGCATGATTATTGACAAGAGAGATCTGATGAAATTTGTTGGACGATGGGTGCTGAAACTGTAGAGTTGACCGAGAGACAAAAATATAAATAATTATGCATCTACCTTAACTATCTCTTTGCTGAACTTCGGTGCCAATTATTTGGGAGACCTCCTGCCTCTATATAGGTGGCACTTATTCGTCTTTCCATTATTTCCCTCTAGCCTAGATTCTTGAAAAGGCCCTGGTTGAGCCGAAACTCGTCTAAATTATGGATGATTTTCCCCACTTTGCATCTGTTCCCTTTTGTAGAGCAAGTCAGTTCAGACGAGAAGCTATTTCTCATTCCACAATATTATTCACCTGTATTTGATAATTGTTCGTCTCCTTCCCCCGATGCACCCCTAATCTCTAGCGGCGGTGCTCTCCGACTCTTTCTGACAAAGCATGATTTGAATGACTCGTGGTTGATTGCCTTAATTAGGCTAGGAGGGTATTTTTATCAGGCTTTATCAAACTATGGATATTTTGGAAACAATCAATGTCAGATATAGAGTTTGAGGTGGTAGGTTTACAAAGCTTGGAGTTTCCATTTTCGGACAAAGGTGTTTCGACTGGATTATAGCAATATGAACTTTATATCTTCTGACTAGAGATGTTTTGTTCTAAACCATGAGAGACTCGGTTCATGGAGACAAGTTTGGGACAGATAGAGCATTTGCGATTTCTGGAAATACATAATCTTACTAGTAACAGAAAGAGAAAGGGCAGCCAGGAATTAATTGACACTTTTTACATTATTCAGTAGGCTCTTAGATTCTAACAGACTTAAACACCACAACGAAGTGGAATAAACGTATATGCAATCTTGGACAGAGCAGCAACACGGGCAGGATGGACAACTGCACTTTTCAACGCGTTATACGTCTATAATATCCCAGGAACAGACCATACACAATGAGAAATTGTCATTGCAGAATATACCATACCATACTTGTTGCCAAAAGATGAGAAAAAAGCAAGTACTACAGTTGAGAGCTGTCAAACATATTACCCTAAATTTAAATGTTGTATCATGATGTTTAAGTTGAGTAGTTAACAAGCAAGTAAACTGGGCTGATACATCAAGGGCAACAACTTAGTCATGCAAATGTTACAACTAGCGACAAGACGGATGGCCAATTTCATACGCACAACTCTCTGGTTGTTTCACTTTCTCTATTGCCCATGATAATGTAACAGCCAATTTCAGAAGCATGTATGGAACGGAGATTTGACCAGTTCGCAAGGGCAATCTAATAGTCAGTCTATATTTGGAATTAGTAGGATACTCAAGATGTATATAGTACCTAGATAGATTCCTCATGGGAGAGGACAATCAATTCAATCAACTCTGAGAGAGATTCATATTACTATAACTTTGCTTAACAGTATTACAGTTCTATGTGGGCCCGTAATCGCTTAGATTTGGCTAGTGGCCTGTCCCTCTCTCTTACTACGCCCCCATGTTCCATCATATGAGATATGATAACTGCTCACCACAAAGTCCGCAGATTGAAAAGCGTTAGATCACAACAATTTAAACAATTACGGCCAAGCTGAGTCAAACAAATTATCTCTGATTTTATGATGTTGTGATTATGAGCTTGCGGTAGCCCATGAGCTGAAGCTCCTGTTTAGCATTGTGCGCAGGATGTGATAACCTTGTGGTCTGATTGTTGTGTATTGAAGACTATGTTAATCAAAGGAGGAGAATAAATTTCCTACCTACAAGATTGAGATATCTCTGCACTGAACATTACCCTACTCAGCTGCCTCTCCAACCCGTCGTAATCCCCATAGATCACACATCCACATTCGAAATTTCATTTTTTCCTTCTGTCCTCCCCTCTCGATCTCGTCGCATTCATCTCTGAATTGTGATCGAGCTCAGGCATTTTAACCATGCCTCCAGTTTGCAAAAAGCGTCCCAACGCCAAGTTGGACAACACGAGAGTCCACCCGAGGGCTCTCGATCAAGTAACTGGCCTTGCCCACTCTCTGAAATGCGCCGATATGAGCAAGGTCTCTACTAAAGGGAAGGAAAAAGCCTTCCCCGCCATCACTGAGCCCGATACTGACATGACCGGGTCAGTTGAAATTGTTGAGGAATATCCCCAACCATCCTCCGTCCCTCACGGGACTGGAGAATTGTCAAAATCTCCTCCGACAGCGTCAAAACCGTCGGAAAACGCTGCACCCATAGCAGCGTCAACATCAACGCCGTAGCCAAAAGCTGCCACGAAAGCAGAGTGTCCCCTCGAGCTCCAACCAATAGTCCAAGCTGAACAACGATGCGCTGCCGAAATAGTGGCAAATCTGGCCCTCTGCTCCGCCTCCATCTCTGGCGTCAAAGCCACCCTTCTCCCTTTGACCAACGGGTCAAATAGACAATTCGTAGACTCGATGAAAGTCTACCTACGCGCCGCCATTGCGCAATACATGGCCACGGGCCCGGCCACTACGCCACCCGTTCTCCCTCCTCGCCCGACGAACCCTCTCCCAAGGGCTCCCGACGCCAGGAGCCAAGCAATACCTACCGTCCCAGCTCTGCCCGTCAAAAGCACCTGGGCTACGGTGGCCAGAAACGGACTGCGACAAAATGCAGCTCCTATAGCAAAGGCTGTGCCGCGACTTACGGCGAGAGCCCAAAAGAAAGAAGCTCCCAAGGCGAAAGTCGATAAGCGACTGTTCCTTCGCCTGGAAAAGGAGTACCCATGGCGGAATCTCTCAAACAACATTGTGAAAAGTAAGGTAGCGGACACGCTTAATCTCTCTTACAATGATAAAGCCTCGATTCACCGAGTAAAGACCAGCTTTGCTATTATAGCAAAGAACGAAAGAATACGACAAGAGATCCTAGATGTCTCTCCGAAGCTGGCAAGTGAAAACGCCAAACTCGAAGCATCTTCGGATCTTGTCGCCTTACAGATACCGAACGTACCTGTAAGTATCGTTTCACAGTACGGCCCCGTAGCGACCGATGCTGCAAGTGTCACCGCTGAGATCTTCCTTACGACCAGCACGTATCCAATCCAGGTCCGACCTCATGGGACATGTCGGCCTGGATCGCCTTATCGAAACTGGCATGCCCTTTTTCACCGGGACGAAGCCCCTCGTGCGGGCTTCTGCCTCTTCGATTTCACGGATCCGTAATTAGAATTTTAATACTAATTTTAATTCGTGATAAGATGAAGGGGTAGTTAATTAAAGACATCAATTTAATAATAGCTTCCCCTATACAATTAGTCGTGTAAAAAGTCATGTAAGGATATGCAAGAGAGTCATGAAGAGAAGGACAAGAACACAGCAGTTAATGCGAAGATATTGGCAAGAATTGATTACAATTAGTTCCCACTGGCAAATGCTTCTACTCTTATTTATAATATTTCAGCGTGAGAGAGATTTACTCATTGCGCAACGTCTTCTTTATCTACCATTTACAATACATTTGTTTACCCATCTCTTCTTCGGGAAGATCATTTATCCATTGCCCAGTTCTTCATCAGCAAGACCCACGTGCAACACCTACTGCAACTAGTTGCCCATTCATCTCTTCCTAGAGAAGACCTGTCATTCCTTTGACCCATTTACAACCTTCACTTACCACCTAGATCTTTACTAGGCTATACAACGCACCCCGTGGAACACTATCAAACCCTCATCCCTGAGATTCGACGAGTCTGGTATGGCTACCATTCACAAGCCTCGTCGCCAAATTGAACAGTGTAAACGCTGTTTGGGCTTCCATACCACTCGTAGTTGCTCCCGCGCTCCAGCCTGCTGGAACTGCGGCTCCAACATGCACTTGGAAGCCGAGTGCAAGGCCCTCACAAAGTGTCGCAACTGTGGGGGACCCCACCGATCGGATTCTCGGGACTGCAAAGTCAGACCCAGAAAGTCCGGACCGGTGACCAAAGAGCAGCTCGTGTGGATTCGCCACATCGAGCAAGGGGAGTTCGCGAAGGTGGCACGAGCCAGAGCTGCAGCAAAAAAGGCCGAAGAGGCGATCATCGCCGCGGCGAAGGATGTCTCGATGGCCAAGGCAACAGGTTTCGGAGCTCTGGGATCTGAAGAAGAAGTTTGAGGACACAGCAACCTCGACGATGTCCCCTTTTGGGGCATCTTCTAACCAATAGCAGGATACCGGCTGGATCAAAGGTGCCTGCTAACTCATCTCTTACTCTCAGCGGAGATTGAATAAATTATGTCATTTGAAAGGTGTGACAGACGAGCGAATGTGTGAGCGCATTTACTGGGTCCAATATGGAGGAATCTTCTGGTATTCGGAGTTGTTTTGATTTCCTTGGGTTTTCGTTCTTGTTCAATCAGCTGCACCTTTGGTAGCAATTCACGAGGTTGGAACGAGTTAGGCTGTAGGAAAAGTTACAGGGAACCCTGCCGGATCCGCCGGTCGTTGACCCAATGTGGAAAACATAGCTTTAGCTTAGGACCGAATGTATATAAAAAATAAAATAAAAAAACAAACGCACAATTCGAGAATCCCATATTGCCCATTCACACCCTGTAATCCATCTCACCCATTATTTATCGAATCGAATCGTAATTGTTTGCCATTGGCGGCATTTTAAAATGCCTCCGACGCGTAGAACGCACCAAAACGCGGTCAGCGGAATCACCAAAGATCGCGTCATCAAATCCTACAAATTGCATGAATCTATACCAACTCTTGCAAGACAAAAACTTACGGAGAAAGGATTAGAGGCCTCCGAAAAAAATTTAGACTACATCGAGGCTGCGCTCGAAGCTAACGTTCGCAATATACCCGAGGTAGAGATGTTGGACGTCCAAGTCCAGAAGTTGAAATCTCTATCAGATTCAAGATGGGCCTCCTCCAGCCCAGAAGACGCGGAAAAAGCCCCAGGGCCCGCAATAACCCCAAGAGAAACCGTCGCAGCACCCGAAAAGCGCGCTACGGTTTCAGAACTACCGCGATTTAAGGAAGGCCCGCGAAAAGGGCCGACGT